GAGACAAGGTGGCTTGGGATGCCCATCCCACCAAGTACTTGCCACAATTTATTATGATCCACATAGTCAAAGGCTTTAGAATAGTCAATGAAACAGAAATAGATGTTTTTCTGAAACTCCTCCACAGACGTTACCAATGGCCAAGCCAGTGAATGAAGTCAATCTAACTTGGGATTTTTTTTTCTCCTCTGAGAAGTCATCTGCTGCAATGGAAAGATCACCCATAGATTTTTAAAAAACGGATGTGATGGCTGCATCAATAGGAGTATAGTGTCTAGATCAGTTATGGACACTACATTGCAAGAAAGATACTGATAAGCTGGAATGTGTCCGGAGAAGGTTTAAAAGCCAAGCTGTATGGGGAGTGGTTTAGGGAGCTGGGTATGTTAAGACTGGAGAAGGGACAATTGTGCCCATGACAGCGATGTTTTAATCTTTCTAAAGTTAGGGGTAAGCTTGTTTTCTGCTGCTCTAAAGCAGGCATGGTCAAACTTCAGCCCTCCATGTTGTTTGGACTTCAGCTCCCACAATTCGTAAGCTGGCTGGAATTTCTGGGAGTTGAAGTCCAAAACACCTGGAGGGCCAAAGTTTGCCCATGCTTGCTCTAGAGACTAGGGGCCCTTCCACACAGCCCTATATCCCAGAATATCAAGGCAGAAAATCCCACAATATCTGTTTTGAACTGGGTTATCTGAGTCCACACTTGGATAATGTGGGATTTTCTGCCTTGTGTGTGGTCTCTTAAAGATCTCTGATTTCTATTGGCTCTTGCATATAGGTTTTAAGACCTCAAGAAGTGGTGGCATACTCAACATTTCAGAGATGAAAGCTGCAATATCACAGTGTGATCTAAATGACAAAGGGCCTTTCCACACAGCCCTATATCCCAGGATATCAAAGCAGAAAATCCCACATTATCTGAGTGTGGACTTAGATAACCCAGCTCATAGCAGATATTGTGAGATTTTCTGCCTTGATATTCTGGGATATAGGGCTGTGTGGAAGGGCCCAAAAGTTACTAATAAAGAAAAATGCGCACTCTGCCAAAGGCTGCAGCACCTTGCTTTTGCCTACGCCCACAGGGAAGAGTCTAACTTATTCTGTTTTCTCCTCCTTTCTGAGTTAGTTTGAGTGAAAACTAGTTTTTCACTCTTTTATTTGCTTTTCAATTTCTGAAGGAAGCTTCCATCAAAGTGGGAATGTGGGAAAAGGAGAGAGAAACTGGGGCATTTTAACAGAAGCTGAAAAAGTGGAGCAACAGAGGATTAATCTGGTCTGATCCTGTTCAATAGGGACATCTGGAGTTTATATTGTAATTATGTGCTTCACCAGATGGGACAGCAGCCAGCCATTTACAAATCAGGCTGAATATCAAGTACATGCTCATTAACAATCCCTTTTCCAGGCTCCAATTGCTATGATACTCCAATTGTTACATGTATTTATTTATTTATTTATTTATTTATTTACTGCGCTTATATACCGCTGTTCTCAGCCCAGGGGCGACATGTAGCAACCACAGTATGCCTGTACAGTAAGGCTGGATCAAGACAGGCCTTTATTCCAGAATCATCCACATTAAAATAATGTGGATGTTTCTGGGAGCCTGTCCATACCCACCCCAGAAAGCACACACTTTATGGGGTGGTTTGTCCAGACATTTTCTTGGGAGTAGCCTGAGAGAACATCCAGGGACCCTACCCCCTCCCCCCAGATCCCCAGACCCCTTAGAAAACTAACAAAAATGTACATGGTCTCCATTAGAAGCCTCGGCCAGCTCTCCCAGCACATAGAAATGATGTGCCAGGAGAGCGCGGGTTGAGGGGAAGCAATTTTCCTCTACTCTCCCCCCCCCCCTTCCAGGTGCATCTAAGGGGGCTTGGGGGGAGGGGGTATTCCCACAGTTTACCGAGCTTATTTAGCCCACTAAACTATGGGAATACTATCTGGACTGCAGTATTTTGCAGTCCAGACCTGGAAATAGTGGATTTCCTGGTTTGTAGTGAATTAATTCAGGACTGTCCAGAACATTGTGGAACCTATGTCCATAGTTTCATTTAAACCTGGGGGGAAATGATCTCTCAAGGAATTTTTTAGATCCACCAGATCATTTTAGGGCAGGCATGGGAAAACATCCCCCCCCCCCCCCCCCCCCCCCCAGTGTTTTGGATTTCAACTTCAATAATTCCTAACAGTTGGTATGCTTGCTGGGTTTTCTGGGAGTTGATCTCCAAAATATCTGGAGGACTGAAGTTTCTGGGTATGCTTTACCCAGAATTTATCATAGAGTCCAGAAGAGGATCTAGCAAATTCCTACTTTGCATGCCTCTTCAAGCATATAATCACATCTAAACTCCAGCTATCCCTATTTGACAGGAGCAGACCTGATTAATCCCCTGTTGTCTCACTTTTTTGGGTTTTTTTTTTGTTAAAATGCACCAGTTTTTCTCTCTTTCTCCCACATTCTCACCTTGACAGAAGCTTCCTATTCAATTTCATTCCATGTTTGTTGATCTTACCCACATCCTCTGCCTTCTTGCATCAGTTAGTTTAAATTTGTTCATCTACCATTATGTAGCCTACAATTCTGGCTCCGCTCACTATTGGAAGATCACGTGCTATGGAATTTGTCACCATATCTAATCTTCACTATTTATAAGTAGCCCTACTTCATATATATATATATTTCTAATGAAGACAAAGTCTACTTTATTTTTTGGCTAGACCCTATACGTGTGGAGAGGTAAGATTGGCTGTTACTCACCTTCGATGGCAAAGCTAATCATTATACTTGTGACACACACTTCCATCTCTAACATTCCCCAATAACCGTTCCCATTAACCTTAGTTAGAATAACCAATGGTGAAAAATGCTAGGTGTTGCTAAGAGTCATTTGATGATGCTCGGCAGGCCCCGTTGACAACTGTGAAAATGGGGCTGAAAAACCCATTGTGAAGAGTACGACTGTTGTTGATTGCTGTCACATTTTGTACCTATCCTATCACATTTTGTACCTACATTCTCAAATCAACAGGTTGAGTGTCTGCTTCAAAAAAGAATCTAACTGGTAGGAATGCAAGAAAAAAAAATGGTATTTCTGCTTAATATTATGCTTCAACTTCCCTGGAATGAAAAGTGCTAATTGCTAATCACTGTATATATATCTCAAATCTAACCAACCCACCAGGATCCGGTCTAATTGGAGGTACTTCTCCACTCCACTGACAAGTGGGAAATAAATGAAAGTGGGGTTTAGTATGTCTTCATCTACTCCTGGTGATTCATAGGAGACCCATGCTGTTATCATTGAAGTCTGGAGACCTAATTTTTCAGTTGTATGACATCATTTGGGTTGAGCTTATTCATATTGGACATTTGCTGGTCCCCCCCCCCCCATTTCTTTCTATAATACATTTCCCCCCAGCTGGACTGAGAGGTTCAGTTACACACTTCAGCTGAAGGAACACCCAATGAATAAATCTTGTGTTGTCTTTGGGTGCATCAAGCCATTTCCAACCCTAAGATGAATCTATGAACATGATTTTCTTGGCAAGATTTGTTTGCCCTTTGCTTCATCCGAGTCTGAGAAAGTGTGAATTATCCAAGGTCAACCAATATGTTTCAATGCCTGAGTAGTAGGGTGCTGCGAGGAACTGTTTTCCTTCATTTCATCAATTCCTTTGTTACTTTTGGGAGAATGGGAAGGCACCTCTACACGAAAGCAAGTGGGAGCCGATCCTGGCACCTGGCCTGCTTTTCATGGTGCTCTATGCCTCCTTGCCTTCGAAAGTGTGTGTGTGGCATGCAGGCCTAGAAAATTCTCTCATGCATCCAAGCACGTTCTCTAGAGGAAGAAGTAAAGAAGTGCTTGCCTTGGAAAGTGAGTGTGGCATTCAGACCCAGAAAGTGTGTATGCCTGCCTGTTGCTGAGTGCCTCCTCTGGAGTAAGAGATGCCTCCTAACCTTGGAAAGCACCCAAGCACCTCCTCTGGAGTAAGGAATGCCTCCATACCTTGAAGTGCGTGACGTGTGCAGGCCCAGAAAATGCGCTCATGCCTGCCTGCAGCCTAGCACCTCCTCTGGAGTAAGAAGCAGAGAACTTGCCTCCTCACTTTGGTAAATGTGTATGGAATGCAGGCCCAGAAAACATGTGAACCTGCCTACAGCCAAGTACCCCCTCTAGAGTAAGAAACATGCAAGAAGCCTCCTTAAAGCACGTACCTGGCTGTAGCTGAGCACCCCTCCTCTAGAGTAAACATCTTAAATGCCTGAAATGACAAGAGGGGAGTCTGGGAAGCTCCCATCCCATAATGGGCCAATACAAAACAGATCTTATGGCACCCCAGAGCAAAAACGGGTATCTGCTCTCTCAATTTCATGAAGCTCCCAAAAATGGATTGGGGCCTGGACCGAAAGCTGGGACACAAAACGGGACAAGATTTATCCTGAACATACAACCCTACTGAAACCCATCTCCAGAGTTAGTCTCATGTTCAATCCACTACATGAAACTGGCTCATACATACCAACATTTATTTATATATTGTCCATGTTTTCTATTTTCTGTTAATAACCATGCTTCTAGCTGCTTTTTAATTCTATTGATCATTTAATCAAATACTTAACTTTTGTTGTGCATAGTATTTGATTTTTTTTTAGGGCAACCTTGATTCTCAGATGAGAGAAAATGCAAGAAATGGCTGAGTGGGGATTTGAACCCTGTACTTTAGAACCAGAGCACCATCCAGGATTATTATCTGTGATACTTAACTGGAGCTTCCATACAGTGGATTTGTGAGCATCTGCTACTGAAAACAAACAACCGAGAAGGAGTTTTGCATTCACGTATTGCCTCTCCTGGTCCTTGCTAACAAACTTCGTTATTCTTGGGCTGCAGGCAAGCAAACCTCTTGAGAACATGGAGTTGTTCTAACTTATTTATTTTTTACGGAGTCGGGATGTGTCTTGCTTCTTAGTACATTCCATCACAGATGTTAAGGAAACCTCCTCAATGAGATTAAGGCTCCATTTCCTCCCTGCCAGCGGGCAGATCACAGCCAGACTGACTGTGAATACTGTGGGTATCCGTGCCTGAAAGGAAAGCCTTGATGAATAAGAAATGCAACTAGAGGAGGAGGGGGTGAGAGAACCCCATTTTAAAAAACACACATACACAACTTTTTCTTCACTGGCAGGTGCCCCAGGTAATAAAGAAGGTGGAATTCTGCTCACTGGCTCTTTTCTCTTGCCCAGTGTGTTCCTTTCTGACTGATGGAGTCCTTGGTGATCTATCTCAGCAAGGTCAAGAGGGTATAATTAGCAGAGGGATTAAAAAGATGCTCTGCTTCATGCGCCCACTCTTCCTTGCGCGGTCTTCTTCCGAATGCATCTCACATCTCCTGGCTCCCGGCTGGCTGATGGGCGTGCGCTGTTCCTGCCGACACACACATGCTTCTGCGCTTTCCCTGAGAGTGGAGCATTAGCAACTGCAGCTTTAAAAAAGAAAGGAAAAGCATGCCCGTTTCCCCCAGCTGGTGAACCTTCTGCAGCCACTGCCTGACTTTGTGGGGAGGAAGACAGCTCTGGAGGCAAGTTTCAGAAGGACTTGGCTGCACTTTGGAGTGTCCACTGTGAATCCACTAGCGCTGGGCACCCTTCCAGAAGTCCTGGCATTCAAGGTGCAACGAGGCTGTGCATCAGGGTAAAATGCTGGCTGTCTCTGAAAGTGGAAGAGTTCACAACTCAAGGTATGTGCTGGATCCATTATTGTCTCCCGTCCTCCTGTCAAATGTCTTATTTCTCACATGTTGTGGTATGCTGCTATGATGCGCGTCTCTCCTTCGCAGGCTGCTGGGTGGCATGTGGAGCTGCCAGGCATAGATTTAGCAAGTCACGGCAATATAAATTAAAGCCCAGGTTAGCTTGGGGAGTCAAACTGATAATAGTGTTGAAACAGCATCTTCCAAAAGCAAAAAAACTCTGCACTGACATCCCGTACTTAGCCACGTGGATTCTCCTAAGTGGGCTTTATTAATCAGGGTGCTTATTTAAAACCCATACATGCATACATGCCAAAAAGAGATGTGGATTTCAGAGATGGTTTGAAGTCCTTGGAAGACTTTTCAATTAACTTTGGTGTTTCTAAGTAGAGTGGGTGAGAAGGAAATGAATTTAGCCTTTTTAGGACTGCTGCTTCTGTCCACGCACAGAAAACCAAGTTGGGAAAAGTTCGGGCAAAGCAACAACTTGGGAAGAATCAAGTTCCTATAAAGTTAGGAAAAGACTTTTGCATTCATGAGGCATTCTTGATGGCTGTCATGGGTAGAAGGCTAACTTTAACATTGCAGTACTCAAAGTAGGAAAGTTCTTTGTTGTTATTTTGCTGTAGTTCTGTCCCAAACCAAATTTGCTCTGGGGGGGGGGGGGGGGGGGGGGGGGGGGGGAGAGAGACTGACTGCTGCTTAGAGGTTCCAGAGTGAAAACTGTCACCCACACTTTTAATATTTATGCAAAAGAGGGGATTTCAGCAGGTTTTGTGTACCATGCAAGTAGAGGATAAGAAACACCTGCTAAAGGCAATCCTAGGCTACTACAGCTGGATATGGGATAACACTGGAAGCATGGCTTTAGTATTTATTGAGTTTTGTTGCTATACTCATTCCTTTTAAATAAATGTCCAAAAGTTTAGTGTGTACAAGGAAATAATTTTATACTGGAGTTTGGAGAAGTTACACTTTTGAACTGCATAGAGCCAGTGGGGCTATCTTCCTGAACCAGAGAATGACAAAATTCTCCAATTTTGAGTCTCTTTTGCTTTTGTAAACTGAGGGCAGAATATGGGAATATTGCATGTTGGTTGTAGAGAAAGTGTTTTGTGCTTCATCCACCATACTGCTTCCTTGCTTGTGTCCAAGTACTTGTTACCTGTGGTTATACTGAAATCAAGGACTATTGTGGTGTCATTGAAATCAAATCAACTACCCAGATGTGAATACCATAGAATTATCCTCCATGCAGCCTGACCCTATGCATGTTTCTTTAGCAGTAGATCCCATTAAATTCAGTAGAACAAACTAGGGGCTAAATAATATGATTAACTGGGTTGTTGTAGGTTTTTTCAGGCTATATGGCCATGGTCTAGAGGCATTCTCTCCTGATATTTCACCTGCATCTATGGCAAGCATCCTCGTCAGGAGAGAATGCCTCTAGACCATGGCCATCCTTGAGGATGCTTGCCATAGATGCAGGCGAAACATCAGGAGAGAATGCCTCTAGACCATGGCCATATAGCCCGAAAAAACCTACAACAACCCAGTGATTCCGGCCATGAAAGCCTTCGACAATACAATATGATTAACTTCTTTAGACGTCAAGTATTTTTCCTAGACTCTATGGCCCCATGTATATCCCAGGATCCAATCCCAGATTATCTGATTTAAATTGGATTATCTGAGTCTCCATTGCCAGATAATCTGGGAAAAGTAGGTAATCTGGGATCAGATCCTGGGATATAGGGGCAGTGTGGAAGGGGCCTACCTCTGCAGCCTGCAGGTGAAGATGGAGTTGGGGCAGAACCTCCTACAACAGAGAAAACAGATTCCTTGCACAGAACAAAAGATTAAGATAGGCACATTCCATCCTAACTGCAGCCTGGAATGGTCTGACCTTAGAGACAAGGTTATGCCTCAAATTAATCATGATTCTGCTGATATTAAGGGATCTAAATGGCATATAAGAATGCAGTCCTCCAACAAATGAAAACAATTCCATGCATGTAGGAATTTAATCAGAGTCTCTGGTGATGCAGCGAGTTAAACTGCTGAACTGCTGAACTTCCTGACTGAAAAGTCAGTGGTTTGTATCTGGGGAGCAGGGTGAGCTCCTGCTGTTAGCCCCAGCTTCTGCCAACCTAGCAGTTTGAAAACATGCAAATGTGAGTAAATCAATAGGTACAATTTTGGCGGGAAGGTAATGGTGCTCCATGCAGTCATGCTGGCCACATGACCTAGGAGGCGTCTACAGACAACACTGGCTCTTCGGCTTAGATGAGCATCACTCCCCACAGTCGGACATGACTACACTTAATGTCAGGGGGAAACGTTTATCTTTAGGGGTCAAATTAAGCTGTTCATTTCAGTGGGCTATGGTGAATGAAATGTTGTTTGAATGAAATGTGTTTGTTAAATATTGTAAACTGTGTGTATGTGTAGCTTGTGGGGGAAATGATGTACATATAATTTGAGGATTTCATTCTTTGATTAACGGTTTGCAAACCTCACATGGGTTGCTTGTTAAAGTTGATGTGGACTTGAGGTTCTTATGCATCAAAATCCTCATATCCAGCCAAAGTCACCTGGATTAGTCAATCAAAGTCAGCTTCGTCATTATATTTTGAGTGGAACAGAACTATTGCCTCCTTTTTTCAGCCTTCATTTAGGCTGGAAGGGTCCCATCTGTTATATTGAACCTATATTATGTTGATTGAATTCGTTCTGCAAGTTTAAGCCCCACTTTAGTTGAAGTTTTGCTTGGATTTCCCTGAAGTTATTCATAAGTACAACAATCTTTTTCAGGCGTATTGTTCTACTGTACTGTTCTTTTCAACAACAAAGAAAAATAACACATTTAAACAGATAAACATAACATAATACAATTAAATGAAATGCCCTAATAAAAATAAGGACACTACTTCAGTGTCTTGTCTAGACTTCCTTTCTTCCCTTTGAAGTAGAAATTCTTCCTTAACCGTCTTGTGTTCCATTTTGTGAAAAGTAATCTTAAATACTTAATGCACTCCTCAACTACATGACTGCATTGCATGAGGAATGCTGATTGCTCTGCTGTTTAGGAGAACCCATCCTACTTCAGTGTGTGGCAATAGCATACCCTCCAAGAGACTCACAGAATCCTTTGCTACCCCACTTTTCCAGCTTCTTTGAAATGTCTCAGTTTCCCATTCCTTCTCCCACTTTCCCCCTTTATCCTCAGCTTGATTCAGAGTACAAAAGTAGTTCCATAGAATCAAAGAGTTGGAAGAGACCACATGGGCCATCCAGTCCAACCCCCTGCCAAGAAGCAGGAAAATTGCATTCAAAGCACTCCTGACAGATGGCCATCCAGCCTCTGTTTAAAAGCTCCAAAGAAGGAGCCTCCACCACACTCTGGGGCAGAGAGTTCCACTGCTGAACAGCTCTCACAGTCAGGAAGTTCTTCCTCATGTTCAGTTGGAATCTCCTTTCGTGCAGTTTGAAGCTATTGTTCTGTGTCCTAGTCTCCAGAGCAGCAGAAAACAAGTCTGGTCCCTCCTCCCTATGACTTCCTCTCATCTCTTGATACAAACATACCAGGAATAAAAAACCCACCCAAAACCAAGTAACCCAAAGTTCCTCAAAGCAGAGAAGAGCAAAGCAGAGAGCAGAGCAAAGCAAGAGCACAAGGCATTGAGGCTGCTCCCTTGAAACCCTAAAGCCCTGTACGCTTGCACTAACTCCCCCTCTTCTGCTAGCTCTTAACTCAAAATACTGCTCATTTGTCAAAGCAAAACCAACAAACATTGACTCTTAACTCAAAACACATTTAAGTTGAAACACTCTTAAGTCAAAGTTCCAATATATATAGCCTTAGTACTTACTTTTACTTACTTACTTACTTAGGCGATCCCTCGTTGGACGAGTAAGATGGTCTTCCATAATGGATTTCCCTGTGGGTCCGTATGTGGCTGTGGAGCCCTATTCTTGCTCTGCATCTTCTTCCGCAGTGAGAGCATTGGTTTCCAGGTGGAAGGCGGTCCCGGTCGGGGTTGGCTTGACGCGCCTTCCTCCTGGCACGTTTCTCTCTTTCACCCTCCACTCGTGCCTCCTCAAATTCTGCAGCACTGCTGGTCACAGCTGTCCTCCAGCTGGAGCGCTCAAAGGCCAGGGCTTCCCAGTTCTCAGTGTCTATGCCAGAGTTTTTAAGGTTGGCTTTGAGCCCATCTTTAAATCTCTTTTCCTGTCCACCAACATTCCGTTTTCCGTTCTTAAGTTCAGAGTAGAGCAACTGCTTTGGGAGACGGTGGTCGGGCATCCGGACAACGTGGCCGGTCCAGCGGAGTTGATGGTGGAGGACCATCGCTTCAATGCTGGTGGTCTTTGCTTCTTCCAGCACGCTGACGTTTGTCCGCTTGTCTTCCCAAGAGATTTGCAGGATTTTCCGGAGGCAGCGCTGATGGAATCATTCCAGGAGTTGCATGTGACGTCTGTAGACAGTCCACGTCTCACAGGCATAGAGCAGGGTTGGGAGGACAATAGCTTTATGAACAAGCACCTTGGTATCCCTACGGATGTCCCGGTCCTCAAACACTCTCTGCTTCATTCGGAAAAATGCTGCACTCGCAGAGCTCAGGCGGTGTTGTATTTCGGTGTCGATGTTGACTTTGGTGGAGAGGTGGCTGCCAAGGTAGCGGAAATGATCAACATTTTCTAATGTTACACCATTAAGCTGTATCACTGGCATTGGAGAGGGGTTGGCTGGTGACTGCTGGAACAGCACTTTGGTTTTTTCAATGTTCAATGACAGGCCGAGCTTCTCGTATGCTTCTGTGAAGGTGTTTAGAGTGGTTTGTAGATCTTCTTCTGAATGCGCACAGACGACATTGTCATCAGCATACTGGAGTTCTATAACAGATGTTTTTGTAACCTTGGTTTTGGCTTTCAGTCTGCTGAGGTTGAATAACTTGCCATCTGTCCGATAGATTATTTCCACTCCG